CTTGAAGATTGACATCTCTAAGTGTAGGGGAGTCAAAGAGGACTCCCTCTTAAGATGGTTCGTCGAATTGGATGACGCCATAAGGGCGCGTCGCATCGACGATGGGGATATGCAAGTTGCATTTGCCCAGTCAAATCTGGCAGGACGTGCCAAGACTTGGGCACTGGGGCTCAAGTTGCACGACCCATATGCGTTTGGGTCGTTAGAAGTCTTCAAGTCGCGGCTCAGACAAACGTTTGAACCGCCTAGAGCTGAGTTCAGAGCTCGAACCGAACTCTTGAAGCTCAAGCAGGGTAAGCGTGATGTGCAAGCTTACGCACAACTATACAACATCTCACGAGTTGTATAAGTTCCAACCCGGTGGATGAACATACGTTGGTTTCGGTGTTCATGCAGGGTCTTGCGGATGGTCCCGTCAAGACTCACCTGTTCCGGCTTGAACTAGATTCACTAGAACAAGCCATTTCTATTGCAGAACAGGAAGACTTCATTCTTAGACAGGCTCGCGCCAGCTCGACATCATATCGTCAACCGAGACGATATGACAACGGAGGTCCAGAGCCGATGGAACTCTGCTATGTAGGGAGCGAGAAGGCTCGCTCTACAGGCTACAAGAAGTTGCAGAGATGCAACAGATGTCAAAAGACAGGACACTACGCTTACGAGTGTAGTGCCCCTCGTCCAGTGTCTTGCAACACTGGGCGTAATGACCGTCCACTCATGAGAATGGGGCAGGGACGCGGGTACGCTGTTGGTGCAAAGACGCAACAACGGGATGGACCGTCAAAAAATGGACAGGATCAGTAGGTGCGGAGCATCCTACTGGTCCAGCAACGTCAAGAGAAGTTGCAGGCCTCTTGATGAAGGTTGCTCCCAACGCACAAACGTTGTGAGTTGCTGCTCTAGGTAATGAGATCTCACTCATTACCTTGAAACTCGAAGTGACTAATAAATTGTCCCTTCGAGCTCTAGTCGATTGTGGTGCGTCCAACAATTTTGTGCGACGCCAATCGCTAGAAGATGGTCATTTTAAGTTCAATGAATGTGACACACCTCCTACGAGGATGACGGTACGTCTTGCGACAGGCGCATCCGTAACCGTCATGAAGCGTATAGTGAAGATCCACGATACGCTAGAAGATACCCAATATGACGATGACTTTATCGTATTGGATTTAGATGACAAATTTGATGTCATCCTTGGAATACCGTGGCTCAGAAGGTACGAACCACGGGTAAACTGGCAACATCGAACAGTAACGATGCCTGCCGCTTGTTCATCAGATGACCATCTGATGAACGTTTTGGAGCGTCCACAAGCGTTTGGATGTACTACGAGTGAGTGCGATGGCCTCACTTGTGGTACGGTCGTTAGTACGACTGCACAAAACCTTAGTGTACCAAACGGTTACACTTCGGAGCAAAGTTCCGGCGGCTGTGAGGAAACACAGGCTGCGCCGAAGGTCCACCACTCGAATAAGTCGGGTGGACTGGGACAAAGATGTATCCCTAGCGGGGAACATCTAGAAGAGAAACAATCGATCGCTCAGGTTAAGCGAAACGATAATCCTAGATCGACTGGAGAGTCTTTCGTAGAGGATCTCGCTGTGGTTGCGCAACCACAGCTAGAGGAAGTAAAGGGAATAAGTCCCGATATTACAAATACGGCGGGAATAAGTTCCCCGAAACCCGAGGGAATAAGTCCCCGGGAAGCCGAAGGAATAAGTCCTTCGAAGCCTGAGGGAATAAGTCCCCAGGAAATGACAGAGACATTGAATGTCATAGTCAATAACGGATCAAGTGTAGGCGCTTATACACTTGATCTGATTGCGCCTCCGAAGTTGACTTCGGAGATCACTCAGTTGCCAACGCTCGAACATAAAAGGTTCTTGCGTGATCTGCGTAGTGGCAAAGTCAAGCAGATCTGCGTACTCGTCGCTGACGACGAGTGTGTAACCGACATAAGATCAGCAACAGTGTTTACTGAGAACGAGAGAGTTCTCAGTAGTTCATCTATGGACGAGAGTGTCCTAGATGAAAAGACACGAATTGAGCGATATGACTCCCAATCGTGGGAATCGCTCAAGACAAATCCTCTCTATGAAGATTTGGTTGAATTCAAGGATGTATTCCCTGAAACTGTTCCGTGCGAATTGCCGAAGGATAAAGGTATTCGACACGAGGTCGAGCTTAAACCAGGCTCGAAGTACTGTGTCATGAAGCAGTGGCCACTGCCTCGTGAACAAGTACTTGCGATCGACAAGTTCTTTGCCGATCGTTTAGCTGCGGGCCATGTGAGGGAATCAACTTCCCCACATAGCTCTCCGACCTTCTGTGTGCGAAAATCAACAGGAGGGTGGCGGATAGTGCATGCATTTAACAAGTTGAATGCTGCAACGGTACCGGCACAGACGCCGATACCGAGGAAGGACGTAATCATTGATGGTATGTCAAAGAGTACCATCTTTTCGTCCATGGATTTGATGGATGGCTTCTATCAAATCCTTATGCGAGAACGGGATATACCCTATACCGCAGTTAGCACGCCTAGCGGCATGCTCTGGGAATGGCTAGTAATGCCACAAGGGCTTAGTAATGCCCCTGCCACGTTCAACAGATGTGTATCACATCTGTTGAGACTAGTACGAGAATTCGCGCCGAGTTATTTTGATGACGTATTCATCCATAGTCGGGCTATGGATGGAAAGTCGGACGTTGAGGTTCACAGGTACCACGTCCGACAGGTTCTTACAATCATGCGAAAGCATCAATTGTATGCAAACCTCAAGAAGTGTATATTTGCAGCAAGCGAAATACCACTTCTTGGGTGCATCGTTGGTAAGAACGGTGTACGTCCTGATCCCGAAAAGATCAAGGCGATCACCGACTGGCCTGTGCCGGTTGATGTCAAAGGTCTTCGAAAATTCCTTGGGCTAGCGGCGTATTTGCACAAGTATTCACGCAATTACGCCGAAATGACTGTGCACCTCTCTCGTTTGTTGAAAAAGAACGAGAGGTGGTTATGGAACGCTGAATGTCAGCGCTCCTTTGAGGGTATCAAGAAGAGCTTGATACAATCCCCAGTCCTAGCAATTGCCGATCAGGACAGGCCATTTCATGTGGTCTGTGATGCCAGCGATTTCGCAATCGGCTGTGCATTAATGCAGTACGACCTTGAAGGCGTTGAACGCGTCGTCTGCTATCAGTCGCGTCAGCTGCAACCAGCTGAGCGGAACTACCCAGTGCATGACAAGGAACTCCTTGCCATGAAGTATGCACTCGCGAAGTTCAGAGTCTATCTATTAGGAGATAGACCCTTCATTGTTTATACTGACCATGCGTCATTACGCACGGCAGTGAACAGCCCGCACCTTTCGCAACGAATGGCGCGGTGGTTGTCATTCTTTGCGGAATACAACTTTACGGTTGAGTACAAACCAGGACGACTTAATGTCGTCGCTGATGCACTCTCACGTCGTCCCGACTTTGAAACAGTCGCAAAACCCAACAGTGAGACAGTCACTGTTGCGGTTATGACGTCCTCCGTCCCATCTACAACGTTGTATGATGATGTGAGGCGGGCATACGCCCAAGATGGTGAGATAGTGAAGTTGTTGACACATCTCTCCCAACCATCTCGAGAATCGTTGAAACGATTGTCGCCTGCGTATCGATCTGCATCAGATCGATACACTACTCGCAACGGGTTACTGTACTATACAGCCGTTTCTGGTGACACACCACGTGTTGTCATTCCAGATGATACTGATCTGCGTTTGCGGATCATGTTCGAGTATCACGATGCTCCTATAGGAGGACATCGTGGCCGGGAGAAAACATATCTCACGGTGAGTCGAGACTTTTACTGGCCCCGCCAGTATCAGTTTGTGCGCAAGTACATTCGCGCATGCGAAGTCTGTCAACGAGTGAAGTCAAGTCCTTCACTGCGTGCACCTTTACAGCCTCTACCGGTTCCGGCTGAGTGCTGGGAATCCATCTCAATGGATTTCGTCTTCGGGTTACCCAAAGACGCACGCGGGAATACGGGTATTCTCGTCTTTGTTGACAGATTCAGCAAAATGGTACACCTTGTGGCTGTACCAGAGACAATCACGGCAAGTGGCTGTGCTTGTGTCTTTATTGACACCATCTTCCGACTTCATGGGTTGCCCCGTGAACTCGTATCAGACAGAGATCCACGATTCACTGCTGATTTCTGGCGTTCCGTGTTCAAATCACTCGGAACACGCTTGAAGATGTCGACATGTGATCATCCAGAGTCAGATGGTCAGACGGAACGTGCCAATCGTGTCCTCGAAGAGATACTTCGAGGATACGTACACTCCTTTAAGAGTTGGAGTGAGTTCTTGCCAATGGTAGAGTTTGCCATTAACAACTCGGTGCATGCGTCCACGACACATACACCGTTTTACGTGAATGGCTTACGCCATCCGCAAGTACCCACCTTACTAGAGTGTGACTCTGGTTTAAGGGGGGAGGGACTCGCGCGAGCAAAAACCGATTTGGTTCACGCTCATCACGCTCTGACGAAGAGGTCATTGCGTTTGATGCCGATATCGATAACATCGATATCGAAGAAGATGATGCCAGTGAGAGTGCGGAAGCCCTCACTGAAGAAAAGGTTGATGTTGCTGCAGTGCACTCACAGCGCACTGAAGCTAACGAACCAGCAGATGAGTTCATACTGGCTCGTGAAACGGTAGTCCGTTTTGTGCAAGATTCCATCGCCGAAGCGGTGGATAGGCAAAAGAAAAACGCTGACAAGAATGGAAGGGCAAACACTCTTTTATTCAATAAGGGTGACTTAGTCCTACTGTCTACGGTTAATCTACCAAAGCATGTAGTGACTAACTTGGGTAGCAGTAAACTACTACCCAAGTACATTGGCCCATTTCGTGCATTGCACCGCCTAGGCAATGCATACACGATCGAGTTACCACGTAAGATGCGAACGCATCCCACGTTTTACGTTGGTCGGCTTAAGCCGTACCACCAGTACGCTGCTTCTTCCGATGAAGAACGCCCTTGCGCTCAAGCATCTCGCAGAGAGCCTTGTGCTCCCGATGGTGGGCATCAACAAGGGTCTGAAGAGCAGCTATCTCATCCCGAGACCGATCAACAATCCCACGAGCTACCCTTAGCTCGTCACGAAGAGATGTCAGAGCTCTCTCGTTCTCAAGCTGAGCAAAGGCAAACTCAGCTCGATGCTTCGAGGCAGTGTCCGCCATTTGGAGACGCCTATTCCGCTCATGTTCGAGATCGTCGCGTAACCCTTGCGTTACGCGATCAAAGAAGCTCTCGGGAACACACCGATCCACATGATCGTGTGGAGAGCGTCTTTCCTCCTCCTCCACCTCCATTAGAGGACTCCCGCGGTGGCCAGCGCTATCTTGTTGAGCAGCTGTTGAACCACCGCGACGTGAACGGACGTCGGACGAGTTATCTCGTCCGGTGGCGCGGCTATCCCCCGTCCTGGGATTCTTGGGAGCCCCGCTCCCAACTGATGATCGACGTACTGGGTCTGGTTGAGCAGTACGACGCGGCACATCCTGTGCCGCAGAAGGACCGCCGGAGAAAGTCTTCCCGGTACGGTAGTAAAGGGATTTTAGGTTGTCAATCCCTTCGTACATCTTTGTAGAGATACGTACGCGTCACCACGGGCTAGTAAGGAGGTAAGCCTCCTTAGGTGCTTGTGCAGAGTTGTTCACACAACATGGGCACGAGTCTCCCCAAGAGAGGCAGGGTAATCCTTTCTCCCTTGACAGACGATGCAGCTTATAGCGTGCACCTGTCGGGGTTCTCTTTTCAAACTTATCACGAGCTTTGATAAGTTTGTCGTTCCAAGCGTCACGACCTACATCCTCGAGGTTATGGATGTAGGCGTTCCACGCTTGAAGCAGTGAGGGACCATCACGTTTGTGATTCCCACTGTACCATCGATGTTTGAAGAAAGCATTGATGGAAGAATTCATGTTCAGCGCGATAGTTTTTCGCGCTGGGGTCAAGGTGATGGATCCTTGACGAATCGAACAATCGTGTTCGATAACGATCACTCGTCGTCGCCGACAAGTGATCCATGACGGATTTTGGAGGCATCCATGCCTTCTTCTCAGGAGCGAGACGCAACACATTGCGGTCCCGCTCTTCCTGCGATGTGCCGACAGAAGTACTGGCACCTCGCTGTGAAGTGGTGTCAATAGGAGAACTGACACCACTGTTAGCGCCCGAGTCTCGCGACCTCGAGCGCCTTCGCTTCGGCGATGGTTCATCTGATTCATCAGATGAACCAAAAATGCTACGACGCATAGCATCATCCATGCCACGCTTGGCAGGCGGCTTAGATTCAATCGCCGTCGATACGGATCCGTCATCCGTATCAGGAGAGTACGAGACACCGAGCTCGTACTCTGTGAAGACATGAGTGTCTTCATGACCAGCGCCTGCATCACCAGGTGACACAGGCTGAGTCGCTTCAGCAACCGATGAGACATCAGTTGCTGTGGTTTCTGCTTCGGCGTCCGCACAGAGACGTGCGGACGCGCTCTCGGCGGCCTTGCTCGCGCATCGCATGGGCTTGTTAACCATGCGATGAATTGTTGGAAAGTGGACTCGGACCAACAAGTGCAAACCATGTCCCAAATGATTTGGAACGAGTATCCATTTAGTCAATCAGTCACTAAAGTGACTGATGGTTAAGGGGGGGTGATGTAACGGGGTGAATCGTTACATAACAATTTATAAGAAATTGTTAATAGAATATAACTATAAGAGTTATATTCTCAGAATATTATCATAAGGACAAATATTCTGTAGCACTTACGAGTAGTTCCTAATTGGTTGATATAGGCCATTATATCAACCAACGAAGACGCGCCACGACAGACGCACGCAATGAGTGGTGAGCAGATAACTGATTTACACATTTGTATTTAGACATAGTTAGATGAAGATAAATAGTGATTTATTGCAGACATTAACTATTATAAATACAGTTCTACTTTTTACTTTAACCGAGTACTCGCTTCTTCTTACCGTCTTCCTCTGCACGTACGAGTGTACGTGAAGTCACGAGGCACCGCCTTATTCTGTCGTCAGAATAAGTAGCTTGTACTGTCATCAGTACAAGCTTCAGGGTGCCCCGTTGCACCCACTCTTAACTTTGCCCTTCTGCCAGTGTCATCCATCTTTCTTTTAGTCCGAGACGTCTAGTGTGTTATAAAACAACAACGTGCCACCTGGTCACGCATAAATAGGGTACCGTAAATTACAGTCATTCGATTTCCGATAAGGGTTAAAAATTTCAAACAGCTCCTCGTCTTCAGCTAAACAATAAGATACGTACCTGGTGGTAGAAAGTGCACAGAGTGGAGAAGCGGAACGCTTTCCAGCTTGAAGTGCAGAGGAACATCAGCTCGTCCTTGACGAGCCATCCTCGAACTGCTTCGTTACGCAGAAAGGCTGCTCGCGCTTGGTTCATTCGTGCTCAACGCGGGCTGAGAGCTGAATGGAATATTGAGAACCAAAAGCATTTGAGAGTGTGATCCTAGTTATTGCTGTCCGTTGCCTTATATCTCCTTTGCGTGTGTTTCTTTGAACCACTCCCAATGGTCGCGTCTTTTACGCATCACTCGCGTCCTTTCATGTTAACAGTTGCTTACTTTCACCTCAGTAGTCGCGGTGTTTCGACACTCCTTTACGGGTGGAAATCCTTACCAACTGAGCATTACAAGTCCGCGTAGCTCGCTGAGTCGCGGCGCTGGGAGGACCTTGGTCAGGATGTACGCACGCATACTCTTGGACTTGCAGGTCTGTAACTTGATCACTTTGTTCTTCTCTAGATCCTTAACAAACTTTTACCTCACGTCAATATGCTTGGCTCGACCAGACGTACCTCACTCTTGATCTGAGCTATCGCTGCTTGATTGTCGACGTGAAGTATTGAATCCGTTTTTATCATCACACCGATCTCTTTTAGTAGCTCCATGATGCCCACCATCTCAGCGGCAGTTTGAGAAGCCGCCACGAACTCAGCATCCATTGTAGATAGGGCCACGCAATTTTGTTTCTTGCGTAGCCAGCCCACAATCATGCCGCCCACCATTAACACGCCACCGCTCACTGATTTGCGGGTACTTTTGTCCGCTGCGTAATCAGCGTCGCTGAAAGCTTCGACAAGCACTCCTTCTACTTCCATCGAAGATGGGTCACCGCGCATCATGAACTTGAAATACTGGTACCCTTCAGGTACTTGGCTATCTTTTAACTAAGCACCAGTCACCTTCGCTCGACGTATGCGAACTTGGGTCGCTCGGTGTACTGCAAACGCTATATCGGGGCACGTGCACCGGGCGAACCACAGGAGATTACCCACCATCGACTGGGACATCTGAGCAGACGGTGTCTGTGCTGTGCCGCTTCCTCTCGACGGTAGTAGTGCGCTGTCTGCATCACCGTCTTCTCCATCTACTTCATCGATCGGCACTCTTACTGATGCCTACTTGGACAACCCAAACTTCTCGAGCATTTCTTCGATGACACATTCCTGGTCTAATTCCCAGCCGGATTCGACATCATAGTCAAAAACGATGCCAAGAAACTTGGCAACGGCGCCGAGATCCTTAAGCTCAACAACCTTCATGCCATTAAAGAACTCGTCAACCTTCTTTACACTGGTACCCGTAGCTAGTAAATCATCCACATATATGCCCACGAGTGTCTTGCCCTTGATATCCTCTTGAATGTATGAGCAGCTGTCCGTGTAGCCCTTGATATCCTCTTGATTGTAAAAGCAGCTGTCCGTGTAGCTCTGGCGAAAATTGAGCGACTTCAATATGTCGTGGAGCATCAAATTCCATCCCCTGCCTGATTGTTTCAGGCCGTACAAGCCTTTTTAAGTCTCATAGCGAGCTGTCTTTCATCCTTCACGCCGAGTTTTTCCATTAGCTTGGCGTCAATGTCCATTCTCTGCGGAATGTGAAGTAAAATCTTCAAACCTTCTTCCTTGTCGGCTTTCACGTAAGCACTTGGTACATTGCCGTGACGCGCATGCACGCCCCATATTCTTAACACCGCGAGAATTACCTTGCCAGATATTATCTCCATCATGGCCTAGAACGTGTAAGTACAATCGACTCCATACACTTGTTCATCTCTACGTGCCACTAACCTGGCTTTGTACCGCTCGATAGTTCCTTCAGCGTGCATCTTTAGCTTAAACACCCATTTATATGAAAAAACTTCCACTTACTATGAAGTAACTTGGCGTCAAGGGGCTTTTGTATCACTTCCCAAGTGTTATTGTGCTCCAATGCCTCTATTTCCGTTCGCGTTGCCTCTTCCCACAGCTTCACCCGCGATTATTTTATTGCATCGCGATAATTTTTTGATTCCTTGAGCAATACTGCACTCACTCGATTTACAGGGACGTGCTTGAAGCCCATTTTTCTCGTTCGCATGTGATTAAGTGTCTCGTCCTCTTTGGGAAATATCTCGACATCGCTGTCAGAATCAGTAGACTAAACTGAGTCTTTATCCACTTCTGAAATCCTTGTTTTATGAGATAAGCTCTTCTTTGATTTAGCTGAGGTCTTTTTAGGCTTTGCTAAGATCGGCTTTCGTTGCGGTAGATTTGTCTCCAGCTCCTTCCGCTTAGCGGCCTCATCTTGCTCTAGTGCAGCGCGTCGCAAATTAGGATCTTCATGCTCCAGCTGCACCTGTAGTTGCGCGTTCTGATTGCTGTTAAGCTTCTTAACGTTTTGTACGTGCTGCGTTGTGGCAGGTGGTAGACCCTGAAATCCTTTGATTCATCATTTTTTGCTGAGTATCTTTCCGACCTGTGATCTTAGCTTCCACGCTTTTTGCCAGGGTTTCTGTACACCGAGCAAGTACTGCCGAAAGTACCATATCCGACAAATTCGGTATATTCCCTGTCAAAATCTCGATCGGTGACATACGTTCCGTTTTTGCGCTGCAAGAGCTCCGATTTACAGCATGCGCCGCGTACTCAGCGGCATCGTCCCAAAAGTACAGCGGTAGACCACTCGCATACAGCATGCACCTTGTCATGTTAAGTATCGTCCTACGCATTCTTTCAGCTTTGCCGTTTGAAGCCTGGTTTTCGGCTACGCTTATTTGGCGTGTTACGCCAGCTAGATTGCGAAACGGGTCCATGTTGGCGTATTTTTATCACCATCTTTGCGCAACACATAAACGCGACAGCTGAATCTCTTCTCATAGTAAAGTTGAAAATTTCAAAACTTTTAGTTACTTCAACCTTGTTCTTCGCGACGAAAACACGTACGTAGTTATTCGAGTAGTCAACGAAATTGATCAGGTATCTGTTACCATGCCTGTCCTTTGGTGTCATCGGTCCCTTGAAAATACCACCGATAACCCCCAAATTTTTAATCGGTTCGTTTCTGCCCGATTTCTTCCTGGATTGTTTGTTTTTGCTTTGCTTGCCCTGCGCGCAAGTAAAGCACTTAAGCCAAGATCGATCCGTTAGTCGAATTCCCGATCCCGCCGAGTCGGCCATGCGTACAACAGTGTCGTAGGCCAGATGTCCGAGTCACTGATAGAGTTTCATAAGTGTTGTCTCCGTGATGGCATCGTCAACTTTGTCGTAACCTTGTTTCGCGGCAGAACTGACGCCTTGAGCTCGTTCATCTTTTGATGATTCGCACTTTACGTCAAGTTTCAAAAGGTTGTTGCGACAGAAGACCTTAAAAACCTTCAACATGTCCGCTTGACGCACCACGTAGCTGTGGTTGCCGTGTCTCTCGAGGTACACCCCGCGCTCTTCCTATGCACCTTAGCTGATGACATTGTCAGCTAGGTTTTCTGCATAATGAACCTTAGATAGGTCGACCATGACCTCTTTTACATCGATCACTGTTCTCAGCTCAGCTATGTCAACTCTAGTGCCTCGGACCATAGTGTCATTCGGCGCGCGACACGTATGATCACATGCCACTGCGTTCTTCAGCATCCTCGAGTCCTTAACGAGGTGCACGCTTGACTCACTGTCCAAATCCACGAAGTGGAGTCATCACAAGTGCTGGTACCAACGGCCAATGCGACTCTTTATGATGCCGGGCCGGCACCGCTCTTGTCCTTGGGGCAATTAGCTCTAATGTGCCGGGCGTCAACGCATCCATAACATGTTCGTGTGTCAGCAGTGCCAACTCGTGCGACGTAGCCCCCTCTACGTCCAACATGTTCCACTCGCCCATCGACGGTATATCGATCGCCTTGCCCATTACCCGAGCGTTCAGTACAACCGCCTCGAATTCTTTTCTTGCTAGTGCTGAACTCTATGTCAATCGAAAATGCAACCGATTCGGCGGCTTGCGCGAGATTGTCAACTCTCTGGGCGTTTAGCCTAGTCAACATTGCGATCTGGGTGTGCTCGGGAGCTGACTTGCACAAACACTCCAGCACACTCTGTTTCGAGTCACCCGACCTCTCTGCCACGTACGCCAAGTACTGATAGTGCTTGGGTCATGTCCTGTTGCAATCATTCTAGATCTTCATCATTTCGATCCCTTTTGTCGATGGGATCGGTGTCATGTATAGCATCAACATGCTGTTCATGACGTGCTCCAGAGCATTAGATACCGCCGTCCATACTAAAAGCCTCTTTACCTATAACTCAGAGCCAAGCCTTCCATCTTTATACTTAGCGCGAGAATTTTGAAGTCTTCCGGCCACACGCCTCCACTCATTAGTTTTGCCGCGCCAAGTCGCTGCAGAAAACGCATCCCCCATGAATTGAAGTCGGACCCATACCCAAGTGAGTCTCTTTTCCAGAGAACTTAGCGAAACTGATCCAGTCCGGGTCCCGAGGCTTCGGTGTTTTTAGTCCATGACCTCCTAGTGGCATGAATTGCTGTGCTGAGGTTGGCTGGTCCTTTTGTCGCGGCGGCGTGTAAGGCGGCAGCATGTGCGGGATCGCAGTCGGTGCAACAGGTGGCATCGGCTCGTCAAGAGATCCTCTTCTCACTCGACAGTCGCGCGCTCGGATGAAGTTCGTAAACGCACTTGAACCGCTAAACGAGTGTTCGGGGGTTGGCGTGGGCTTAGCTTCAGCCCGGCGCGTCAGCTGATCTTTCCTCTTAAGCTGGTTCGCCATGAACTGGGATTGCTGTTCTACCATATAGTCGAGGAGTCCTTTAAGTCGTTCTTTGCGCCCAGAGCTCACGTCAGAAGCTCACTCAAGCCATCTTGAGCCTTGGAGACAACCGAGGCACATAGCGCCTCCTCTCGCATCCCGGACGGGTCAGCAATCACGTTTAGTGCGGTTACGTTCGTCTCGGCGATGTCACGTGCCGGAGTGAACTGAGCGGAGGTAGAGTCAGTGCGCTTTGGGCATATAACCTGTTCAAAACGGGCTGAGAGCTAGATGGAATGTTAAAGCTAAATGTATATGAGAGTATGATCCTAGTTATCGCTGTCCGTTACCTTCAATCTCCTTTGCGTCAGTTTCTTTAAGTCGCTCTTAATAGTCGCGTCCTTAACGCATCAGTCGCGTCCTTTCATGTTAACAGTTGCGTCCTTTCGCCTCAGTAGTCGCGGTGTTTCAACAATTTGCCTTCTTGTATCCCTCTTATAGCTGGTGAAAAAAGTGTTCTATCCTTTGAATAAAAAGTGTCCTATTCTACGTACTTATGGTAAAAAGTGTCCTATTCTGTAAATTTTCTCTCCAATTTAATAGCGCCCATCTTTATGTGTTGCAAACATTTGTTTAATGGCGTTTAAAGCGATTTATGTTTGCTTGACCGATTGAATTCATTCTATTTCTAAACATATGAGCGAATTTAAAGATTATTGAAGGGTTTTGGCAATTAACGAAAGGATACTGGCTCGATAACGTTGACCTTACTAAAAGCAATTGGCGAGCCCCAGAGCTTGCTATCTTATCTTATCATTTGGTAATACTTATGCGTAGAAAGGCAAAAAAACATTTTTAGACAAACACTGTTATTTTTTTGAGTCGTCTCAAACTAGTTCCTTCAGTATCCCAGCCAGCACCTCCTATACAATCCCTCTATCGACTCTCTTTGACGCAGAAATAGAAGAGAACTTGTGAGACAGATGAGCTTGTAACATGCCGATGACAAGGCTGACAACAAATGTCGAAACAACGGAAATAAATGGAGAGCAAAGAGACCACAGCGCACATTTTGTGGACTGCCGAAACCCACAATGATTCTGGAACACTAAGTCCGACACCGGACACGTGAGAGTGCGGGTTGCGTGGTAGTGGTTCAGCGCATAAAGTTCTACACCAATCATCAAGCTTAATTTTATCACACCATGACGAGTTCTCTTGCGCTTGCAAAACTTGTTTCAAGATGACACGGATGCCGCAGGAACGAAAGCTAAGCGCATATGGATCGAATAAAGCCCCATGGTCAATGCATTTGCGCTCTCCGGACAAAACGCGGCCTGAACATCGAACTGCAGCACATAGAGCCAAGCTTCAGGCTGTCTAGCATAATTGATGCAAGAATCAAGAGGACGTCTGGCTTATACAATAGTTAACTCTGATACGCTGCCACGACCAGCGCTCACATCCGAGTACAGGCGGGACCTTTCCGCCATCTTGCATCAAACAACTTGTAAGACGACTGTGAAACTCTTCTTCTTGCTATACGACGACTCGAGTCGTATAAATGTCTCTTTTAAACGCACGACGTCTTCAGTCAATATTGCAAATTAAGCCGGGACTTTCGCCTAAAACGCGAAGTTTTATCCATACAAAATATAGCATCCAACCAATTACGACCAGGCAATAGTGCCATATCATGCATGAGGATAGGAGAATCGCTGCACGAGCGGGCCTAGGGTGAACGGAACAATGGAGACGCGATCCATATTGTAAGTTTGTATTGTGCGCTTGCTAACGTGTTTAAGATAGAGGAGCAAGATCTGTATATTTCCCTTTAGTGTAAGGAGTTCGATTCATAGAAATAAACAATTAAGATGCAAAACACTATACAACAGCAGCAGCCACTAAAAATGAGTATGACGCTCTTGATGTCCGCAAGGTAGGAGAGCAAGCTCTGGAGCTCGCCCTTTGATCTAAGTAATTCAGGTCATTGAAACGAATTAAGCAGAAAAAAGACCAAAGGACGACAGACACTGATGTAACGATGTGAATCGTTACATAACAATTTACAAGAAATTGTTATTAGAATATAACTATAAGAGTTATATTCTCAGAATATTGTCATAAGGACAAATATTCTGTAGCACTTACGAGTAGTTCCTAATTGGTTGATATAGGCCATTATATCAACCAACGAAGACGCGCCACGACAGACGCACGCAATGAGTGGTGAGCAGATAACTGATTTACACATTTGTATTTAGACATAGTTAGATGAAGATAAATAGTGATTTATTGCAGACATTAACTATTATAAATACAGTTCTACTTTTTACTTTAACCAAGTACTCGCTTCTTCTTACCGTCTTCCTCTGCACGTACCAGTGTACGTGAAGTCACGAGGCACCGCCTTATTCTGTCGTCAGAATAAGTAGCTTGTACTGTCATCAGTACAAGCTTCAGGGTGCCCCGTTACACCCACTCTTAACTTTGCCCTTCTGCCAGTGTCATCCATCTTTCTTTTAGTCCGAGACGTCTAGTGTGTTATAAAACAACAACGTGCCACCTGGTCACGCATAAATAGGGTACCGTAAATTACAGTCATTCGATTTCCGATAAGGGTTAAAAATTTCAAACAGCTCCTCGTCTTCAGCTAAACAATAAGATACGTACCTGGTGGTAGAAAGTGCACAGAGTGGAGAAGCGGAACGCTTTCCAGCTTGAAGTGCAGAGGAACATCAGCTCGTCCTTGACGAGCCATCCTCGAACTGCTTCGTTACGCAGAAAGGCTGCTCGCGCTTGGTTCATTCGTGCTCAACGCGGGCTGAGAGCTGAATGGAATATTGAGAACCAAAAGCATTTGAGAGTGTGATCCTAGTTATTGCTGTCCGTTGCCTTAGATCTCCTTTGCGTGTGTTTCTTTGAACCACTCCCAATGGTCGCGTCTTTTACGCATCACTCGCGTCCTTTCATGTTAACAGTTGCTTACTTTCACCTCAGTAGTCGCGGTGTTTCGACACTCCTTTACGGGTGGAAATCCTTACCAACTGAGCATTACAAGTCCGCGTAGCTCGCTGAGTCGCGGCGCTGGGAGGACCTTGGTCAGGATGTACGCACGCATACTCTTGGACTTGCAGGTCTGTAACTTGATCACTTTGTTCTTCTCTAGATCCTTAACAAACTTTTACCTCACGTCAATATGCTTGGCTCGACCAGACGTACCTCACTCTTGATCTGAGCTATCGCTGCTTGATTGTCGACGTGAAGTATTGAATCCGTTTTTATCATCACACCGATCTCTTTTAGTAGCTCCATGATGCCCACCATCTCAGCGGCAGTTTGAGAAGCCGCCACGAACTCAGCATCCATTGTAGATAGGGCCACGCAATTTTGTTTCTTGCGTAGCCAGCCCACAATCATGCCGCCCACCATTAACACGCCACCGCTCACTGATTTGCGGGTACTTTTGTCCGCTGCGTAATCAGCGTCGCTGAAAGCTTCGACAAGCACTCCTTCTACTTCCATCGAAGATGGTTCACCGCGCATTATGAACATAAATTACTGGTACCCTTCAAGTACATAGCTATCTTCTTAATTAAACGCCAGTCACCTTTGCTCAGCGCATGCGAACGTCGGGTCGCTCGGTGTACTGCAAACACGATATCGGGGCTCGTCCACCGGGCGAACCACAGGAGATTACCCACCATCGACTGGGACATCTGAGCAGACGGTGTCTGTGCTGTGCCGCTGCCTCCCGACGGTAGCAGTGCTTTGTCTGCATCGCCGTCTTCTCCATCTTCTCCACCGATCGGCACTCTCACTGTTGCTGATTTGGACAACCCAAACTTCTCCAGCAATTCTTCGATGACAAATTCCTGGTCTAATTCCCAGCCGGATTCGACATCATAGTCAAAAACGATGCCAAGAAACTTGGCAACGGCGCCGAGATCCTTAAGCTCAACAACCTTCATGCCATTAAAGAACTCGTCAACCTTCTTTACACTGGTACCCGTAGCTAGTAAATCATCCACATATATGCCCACGAGTGTCTTGCCCTTGATATCCTCTTGAATGTATGAGCAGCTGTCCGTGTAGCCCTTGATATCCTCTTGATTGTAAAAGCAGCTGTCCGTGTAGCTCTGGCGAAAATTGAGCGACTTCAAATTGTCGTGAAGCATCAAATTCCATCCCCTGCCTGATTTCTTTAGGCCGTACAAGCCTTTTTAAGTCTCATAGCGAGCTGTCTTTCATCCTTCACGCCGAGTTTTTCCATTAGCTTGGCGTCAATGTCCATTCTCTGCCGAATGTGAAGTAAAATTTCCATATCTTCTCACTTGTCGGCTTTGACGTAAGCACTTGGTACATTGCCGTGGCGCGCAGGCACGTTCCAGATTCTTAACACCGCGTGGATAACCTTGCCATATATCATCTACATCATGGCCTAGAACGTGTAAGTACAATCGACTCCATACACTTGTTCATCTCTACGTGCCACTAACCTGGCTTTGTACCGCTCGATAGTTCCTTCAGCGTGCATCTTTAGCTTAAACACCCATTTATATGAAAAAACTTCCACTTACTATGAAGTAACTTGGCGTCAAGGGGCTTTTGTATCACTTCCCAAGTGTTATTGTGCTCCAATGCCTCTATTTCCGTTCGCGTTGCCTCTTCCCACAGCTTCACCCGCGATTATTTTATTGCATCGCGATAATTTTTTGATTCCTTGAGCAATACTGCACTCACTCGATTTACAGGGACGTGCTTGAAGCCCATTTTTCTCGTTCGCATGTGATTAAGTGTCTCGTCCTCTTTGGGAAATATCTCGACATCGCTGTCAGAATCAGTAGACTAAACTGAGTCTTTATCCACTTCTGAAATCCTTGTTTTATGAGATAAGCTCTTCTTTGATTTAGCTGAGGTCTTTTTAGGCTTTGCTAAGATCGGCTTTCGTTGCGGTAGATTTGTCTCCAGCTCCTTCCGCTTAGCGGCCTCATCTTGCTCTAGTGCAGCGCGTCGCAAATTAGGATCTTCACGCTCCAGCTGCACCTGTAGTTGCGCGTTCTGATTGCTGTTAAGCTTCTTAACGTTTTGTACGTGCTGCGTTGTGGCAGGTGGTAGACCCTGAAATCCTTTGATTCATCATTTTTTGCTGAGTATCTTTCCGACCTGTGATCTTAGCTTCCACGCTTTTTTGCCAGGGTTTCTGTACACCGAGCAAGTACTGCCGAAAGTACCATATCCGACAAATTCGGTATATTCCCTGTCAAAATCTCGATCGGTGACATACGTTCCGTTTTTGCGCTGCAAGAGCTCCGATTTACAGCATGCGCCGCGTACTCAGCGGCATCGTCCCAAAAGTACAGCGGTAGACCACTCGCATACAGCATGCACCTTGTCATGTTAAGTATCGTCCTACGCATTCTTTCAGCTTTGCCGTTTGAAGCCTGGTTTTCGGCTACGCTTATTTGGCGTGTTACGCCAGCTAGATTGCGAAACGGGTCCATGTTGGCGTATTTTTATCACCATCTTTGCGCAACACATAAACGCGACAGCTGAATCTCTTCTCATAGTAAAGTTGAAAATTTCAAAACTTTTAGTTACTTCAACCTTGTTCTTCGCGACGAAAACACGTACGTAGTTATTCGAGTAGTCAACGAAATTGATCAGGTATCTGTTACCATGCCTGTCCTTTGGTGTCATCGGTCCCTTGAAAATACCACCGATAACCCCCCAAATTTTTAATCGGTTCGTTTCTGCCCGATTTCTTCCTGGATTGTTTGTTTTTGCTTTGCTTGCCCTGCGCGCAAGTAAAGCACTTAAGCCAAGATCGATCCGTTAGTCGAATTCCCGATCCCGCCGAGTCGGCCATGCGTACAACAGTGTCGTAGGCCAGATGTCCGAGTCACTGATAGAGTTTCATAAGTGTTGTCTCCGTGATGGCATCGTCAACTTTGTCGTAACCTTGTTTCGCGGCAGAACTGACGCCTTGAGCTCGTTCATCTTTTGATGATTCGCACTTTACGTCAAGTTTCAAAAGGTTGTTGCGACAGAAGACCTTAAAAACCTTCAACATGTCCGCTTGACGCACCACGTAACTGCAATTGCCGTGTCTTTCGAGGTACACCCCGCGCTCTTCCTATGCACCTTAGCTGATGACATTGTCAGCTAGGTTTTCTGCATAATGAACCTTAGATAGGTCGACCATGACCTCTTTTACATCGATCACTGTTCTCAGCTCAGCTATGTCAACTCTAGTGCCTCGGACCATAGTGTCATTCGGCGCGCGACACGTATGATCACATGCCACTGCGTTCTTCAGCATCCTCGAGTCCTTAACGAGGTGCACGCTTGACTCACTGTCCAAATCCACGAAGTGGAGTCATCACAAGTGCTGGTACCAACGGCCAATGCGACTCTTTATGATGCCGGGCCGGCACCGCTCTTGTCCTTGGGGCAATTAGCTCTAATGTGCCGGGCGTCAACGCATCCATAACATGTTCGTGTGTCAGCAGTGCCAACTCGTGCGACGTAGCCCCCTCTACGTCCAACATGTTCCACTCGCCCATCGACGGTATATCGATCGCCTTGCCCATTACCCGAGCGTTCAGTACAACCGCCTCGAATTCTTTTCTTGCTAGTGCTGAACTCTATGTCAATCGAAAATGCAACCGATTCGGCGGCTTGCGCGAGATTGTCAACTCTCTGGGCGTTTAGCCTAGTCAACATTGCGATCTGGGTGTGCTCGGGAGCTGACTTGCACAAACACTCCAGCACACTCTGTTTCGAGTAATGCGACCGCTCTACTACGTACACCAAGTACTGATAGTGCTTGAGCCACGTCCTGTTGCAATCATTCTAGATCTTCATCATTTCGATCCCTTTTGTCGATGGGATCGGTGTCATGTATAGCATCAACATGCTGTTCATGACGTGCTCCAGAGCATTAGATACCGCCGTCCATACTAAAAGCCTCTTTACCTATAACTCAGAGCCAAGCCTTCCATCTTTATACTTAGCGCGAGAATTTTGAAGTCTTCCGGCCACACGCCTCCACTCATTAGTTTTGCCGCGCCAAGTCGCTGCAGAAAACGCATCCCCCATGAATTGAAGTCGGACCCATACCCAAGTGAGTCTCTTTTCCAGAGAACTTAGCGAAACTGATCCAGTCCGGGTCCCGAGGCTTCGGTGTTTTTAGTCCATGACCTCCTAGTGGCATGAATTGCTGTGCTGAGGTTGGCTGGTCCTTTTGTCGCGGCGGCGTGTAAGGCGGCAGCATGTGCGGGATCGCAGTCGGTGCAACAGGTGGCATCGGCTCGTCAAGAGATCCTCTTCTCACTCGACAGTCGCGCGCTCGGATGAAGTTCGTAAACGCACTTGAACCGCTAAACGAGTGTTCGGGGGTTGGCGTGGGCTTAGCTTCAGCCCGGCGCGTCAGCTGATCTTTCCTCTTAAGCTGGTTCGCCATGAACTGGGATTGCTGTTCTACCATATAGTCGAGGAGTCCTTTAAGTCGTTCTTTGCGCCCAGAGCTCACGTCAGAAGCTCACTCAAGCCATCTTGAGCCTTGGAGACAACCGAGGCACATAGCGCCTCCTCTCGCATCCCGGACGGGTCAGCAATCACGTTTAGTGCGGTTACGTTCGTCTCGGCGATGTCACGTGCCGGAGTGAACTGAGCGGAGGTAGAGTCAGTGCGCTTTGGGCATATAACCTGTTCAAAACGGGCTGAGAGCTAGATGGAATGTTAAAGCTAAATGTATATGAGAGTATGATCCTAGTTATCGCTGTCCGTTACCTTCAATCTCCTTTGCGTCAGTTTCTTTAAGTCGCTCTTAATAGTCGCGTCCTTAACGCATCAGTCGCGTCCTTTCATGTTAACAGTTGCGTCCTTTCGCCTCAGTAGTCGCGGTGTTTCAACAATTTGCCTTCTTGTATCCCTCTTATAGCTGGTGAAAAAAGTGTTCTATCCTTTGAATAAAAAGTGTCCTATTCTACGTACTTATGGTAAAAAGTGTCCTATTCTGTAAATTTTCTCTCCAATTTAATAGCGCCCATCTTTATGTGTTGCAAACATTTGTTTAATGGCGTTTAAAGCGATTTATGTTTGCTTGACCGATTGAATTCATTCTATTTCTAAACATATGAGCGAATTTAAAGATTATTGAAGGGTTTTGGCAATTAACGAAAGGATACTGGCTCGATAACGTTGACCTTACTAAAAGCAATTGGCGAGCCCCAGAGCTTGCTATCTTATCTTATCATTTGGTAATACTTATGCGTAGAAAGGCAAAAAACCATTTTTAGACAAACACTGTTATTTTTTTGAGTCGTCTCAAACTAGTTCCTTCAGTATCCCAGCCAGCACCTCCTATACAATCCCTCTATCGACTCTCTTTGACGCAGAAATAGAAGAGAACTTGTGAGACAGATGAGCTTGTAACATGCCGATGACAAGGCTGACAACAAATGTCGAAACAACGGAAATAAATGGAGAGCAAAGAGACCACAGCGCACATTTTGTGGACTGCCGAAACCCACAATGATTCTGGAACACTAAGTCCGACACCGGACACGTGAGAGTGCGGGTTGCGTGGTAGTGGTTCAGCGCATAAAGTTCTACACCAATCATCAAGCTTAATTTTATCACACCATGACGAGTTCTCTTGCGCTTGCAAAACTTGTTTCAAGATGACACGGATGCCGCAGGAACGAAAGCTAAGCGCATATGGATCGAATAAAGCCCCATGGTCAATGCATTTGCGCTCTCCGGACAAAACGCGGCCTGAACATCGAACTGCAGCACATAGAGCCAAGCTTCAGGCTGTCTAGCATAATTGATGCAAGAATCAAGAGGACGTCTGGCTTATACAATAGTTAACTCTGATACGCTGCCACGACCAGCGCTCACATCCGAGTACAGGCGGGACCTTTCCGCCATCTTGCATCAAACAACTTGTAAGACGACTGTGAAACTCTTCTTCTTGCTATACGACGACTCGAGTCGTATAAATGTCTCTTTTTAAACGCACGACGTCTTCAGTCAATATTGCAAATTAAGCCGGGACTTTCGCCTAAAACGCGAAGTTTTATCCATACAAAATATAGCATCCAACCAATTACGACCAGGCAATAGTGCCATATCATGCATGAGGATAGGAGAATCGCTGCACGAGCGGGCCTAGGGTGAACGGAACAATGGAGACGCGATCCATATTGTAAGTTTGTATTGTGCGCTTGCTAACGTGTTTAAGATAGAGGAGCAAGATCTGTATATTTCCCTTTAGTGTAAGGAGTTCGATTCATAGAAATAAACAATTAAGATGCAAAACACTATACAACAGCAGCAGCCACTAAAAAATGAGTATGACGCTCTTGATGTCCGCAAGGTAGGAGAGCAAGCTCTGGAGCTCGCCCTTTGATCTAAGTAATTCAGGTCATTGAAACGAATTAAGCAGAAAAAAGACTAAAGGACGACAGACACTGATGTAACGATGTGAATCGTTACATAACAATTTACAAGAAATTGTTATTAGAATATAACTATAAGAGTTATATTCTCAGAATATTGTCATAAGGACAAATATTCTGCAGCACTTACGAGTAGTTCCTAATTGGTTGATATAGGCCATTATATCAACCAACGAAGACGCGCCACGACAGACGCACGCAATGAGTGGTGAGCAGATAACTGATTTACACATTTGTATTTAGACATAGTTAGATGAAGATAAATAGTGATTTATTGCAGACATTAACTATTATAAATACAGTTCTACTTTTTACTTTAACCGAGTACTCGCTTCTTCTTACCGTCTTCCTCTGCACGTACCATTGTACGTGAAGTTCCTAGGCACCGCCTTATTCTGTCGTCAGAATAAGTAGCTTGTACTGTCATCAGTACAAGCTTCAGGGTGCCCCGTGACACCTGGTAGTACTTCGTAGTACGTCCAAGGACCACGTTCACATCTAACATGAATATGTTAGATGATGAAGATGACCAAAGCTTTCACGCTACGCGTGACGGCTACTGCCATTTGAGCGATGTCGAATGGGATACGGTTGAACGGATGGGTTCAACCATGGGCATCCATGCTGTTAGCGTCATGCTAGAGGCTCTCAATAGAGATGCCCAACATGCTACTATCGCCAAGTTCATTCAAAATGAACTTGACGCAGAACGCGAGAAAGTAGCCTTGCTTCACCAACAAGGTTCTCAACAATCAGAGTTGTTGAGAGAACAGGGTGCTCAACAGTTTGAACTGTTGAGACAGCAGCAGGCTGCTGCTGGTGGGTCGATGCATTCGCGTCGACCCGAGACTTTAAAGATTGACATCTCTAAGTATAGGGGAGTCGAAGAGGACTCCCTCTTAAGATGGTTCGTCGAATTGGATGACGCCATAAGGGCGCGTCGCATCGACGATGGGGATATGCAAGTTGCATTTGCCCAGTCAAATCTGGCAGGACGTGCCAAGACTTGGGCACTGGGGCTCAAGTTGCACGACCCATATGCGTTTGGGTCGTTAGAAGTCTTCAAGTCGCGGCTCAGACAAACGTTTGAACCGCCTAGAGCTGAGTTCAGAGCTCGAACCGAACTCTTGAAGCTCAAGCAGGGTAAGCGTGATGTGCAAGCTTACGCACAACTATACAACATCTCACGAGTTGTATAAGTTCCAACCCGGTGGATGAACATACGTTGGTTTCGGTGTTCATGCAGGGTCTTGCGGATGGTCCCGTCAAGACTCACCTGTTCCGGCTTGAACTAGATTCACTAGAACAAGCCATTTCTATTGCAGAACAGGAAGACTTCATTCTTAGACAGGCTCGCGCCAGCTCGACATCATATCGTCAACCGAGACGATATGACAACGGAGGTACAGAGCCGATGGAACTCTGCTATGTAGGGAGCGAGAAGGCTCGCTCTACAGGCTACAAGAAGTTGCAGAAATGCAACAGATGTCAAAAGACAGGACACTACGCTTACGAGTGTAGTGCCCCTCGTCCAGTGTCTTGCAACACTGGGCGTAATGACCGTCCACTCATGAGAATGGGGCAGGGACGCGGGTACGCTGTTGGTGCAAAGACGCAACAACGGGATGGACCGTCAAAAAATGGACAGGATCAGTAGGTGCGGAGCATCCTACTTGTCCAGCAACGTCAAGAGAAGTTGCAGGCCTCTTGATGAAGGTTGCTCCCAACGCACAAACGTTGTGAGTTGCTGCTCTAGGTAATGAGATCTCACTCATTACCTTGAAACTCGAAGTGACTAATAAATTGTCCCTTCGAGCTCTAGTCGATTGTGGTGCGTCCAACAATTTTGTGCGACGCCAATCGCTAGAAGATGGTCATTTTAAGTTCAATGAATGTGACACACCTCCTACGAGGATGACGGTACGTCTTGCGACAGGCGCATCCGTAACCGTCATGAAGCGTATAGTGAAGATCCACGATACGCTAGAAGATACCCAATATGACGATGACTTTATCGTATTGGATTTAGATGACAAATTTGATGTCATCCTTGGAATACCGTGGCTCAGAAGGTACGAACCACGGGTAAACTGGCAACATCGAACAGTAACGATGCCTGCCGCTTGTTCATCAGATGGCCATCTGATGAACGTTTTGGAGCGTCCACAAGCGTTTGGATGTACTACGAGTGAGTGCGATGGCCTCACTTGTGGTACGGTCGTTAGTACGACTGCACAAAACCTTAGTGTACCAAACGGTTACACTTCGGAGCAAAGTTCCGGCGGCTTTGAGGAAACACAGGCTGCGCCGAAGGTCCACCACTCGAATAAGTCGGGTGGACTGGGACAAAGATGTATCCCTAGCGGGGAACATCTAGAAGAGAAACAATCGATCGCTCAGGTTAAGCGAAACGATAATCCTAGATCGACTGGAGAGTCTTTCGTAGAGGATCTCGCTGTGGGTGCGCAACCACAGCTAGAGGAAGTAAAGGGAATAAGTCCCGATATTACAAATACCGCGGGAATAAGTTCCCCGATCCCCGAGGGAATAAGTCCCCGGGAAGCCGAAGGAATAATTCCTTTGAGGCCTGAGGGAATAAGTCCCCAGGAAATGACAGAGACATTGAACGTCCTAGTCAATGACGGATCAAGTGTAGGCGCTTATACACTTGATTTGATTGCGCCTCCGAAGTTGACTTCAGAGATCACTCAGTTGCCAACGCTCGAACATAAAAGGTTCTTGCGTGATCTGCGTAGTGGCAAAGTCAAGCAGATCTGCGTACTCGTCGCTGACGACGAGTGTGTAACCGACATAAGGTCAGCAACAGTGTTTACTGAGAACGAGAGAGTTCTCAGTAGTTCATCTATGGACGAGAGTGTCCTAGATGAAAAGACACGAATTGAGCGATATGACTCCCAATCGTGGGAATCGCTCAAGACAAATCCTCTCTATGAAGATTTGGTTGAATTCAAGGATGTATTCCCTGAAACTGTTCCGTGCGAATTACCGAAGGATAAAGGTATTCGACACGAGGTCGAGCTTAAACCAGGCTCGAAGTACTGTGTCATGAAGCAGTGGCCACTGCCTCGTGAACAAGTACTTGCGATCGACAAGTTCTTTGCCGATCGTTTAGCTGCGGGCCATGTGAGGGAATCAACTTCCCCACATAGTTCTCCGACCTTCTGTGTGCGAAAATCAACAGGAGGGTGGCGGATAGTGCATGCATTTAACAAGTTGAATGCTGCAACGGTACCGGCTCAGACACCGATACCGAGGAAGGACGTAATCATTGATGGTATGTCAACGAGTACTATCTTTTCGTCCATGGATTTGATGGATGGCTTCTATCAGATCCTTATGCGAGAACGGGATACACCCTATACCGCAGTTAGCACGCCTAGCGGCATGCTCTGGGAATGGCTAGTTATGCCACAAGGGCTTAGTAATGCCCCTGCCACGTTCAACAGATGTGTATCACATCTGTTGAGACCAGTACGAGAATTCGCGCCGAGTTATTTCGATGACGTTTTCATCCATAGTCGGGCTATGGATGGAAATTCGGACGTTGAGGTTCACAGATACCACGTCCGACAGGTTCTTACAATCATGCGAAAGCATCAATTGTATGCAAACCTCAAGGAGTGTATATTTGCAGCAAGCGAAATACCACTTCTTGGATGCATCGTTGGAAAGAACGGTGTACGTCCTGATCCCGAAAAGATCAAGGCGATCACCGACTGGCCTGTGCCGGTCGATGTCAAAGGTCTTCGAAAATTCCTTGGGCTAGCGGCGTATTTGCACAAGTATTCACGCAATTACGCCGAGATGACTGTACACCTCTCTCGTCTGCTAAAAAAGAACGAGAGGTGGTTATGGAACGCTGAATGTCAGCGCTCCTTTGATGGTATCAAGCAGAGCTTGATACGATCCCCAGTCCTCGCAATAGCCGATCAGGACAGGCCATTTCATGTGGTCTGCGATACCAGCGATTTCGCAATCGGCTGTGCATTAATGCAGTACGATCTTGAAGGCGTTGAACGCATCGTCTACTATCAGTCGCGTCAGCTGCAACCAGCTGAGCGGAACTACCCAGTGCATGACAAGGAACTCCTTGCCATGAAGTATGCACTCGCGAAGTTCAGAGTCTATCTATTAGGAGATAGACCACTCATTGTTTACACAGACCATGCGTCGCTACGCACGGCAGTAAACAGCCCGCACCTTTCACAACGAATGGCGCGGCGGTTGTCATTCTTTGCAGAATACAACTTTACGGTAGAGTAAAAATCAGGACGACTTAATGCCGTCGCTGATGCACTCTCACGTCGGCTCGACTTTGAACCAGTCGTGAAACCCAACAGTGAGACAGCCACTGTTGCGGTTATAACGTCTTCAGTCCCATCTACAACGTTGTATGATGATGTGAGGCTGGCGTACGCCCAAGATGGTGAGATGGTAAAATTGTTGACACATCTCTCACGACCATCTCGAGAATCGTTGAAACGATTGTCGTCTGCGTATCGGATACACTAGTCGCAACGGTTTACTGTATTATACAGCCGTTACTGGTGACACACCACGTGTTGTCATTCCGGATGATACTGATCTGCGTTTGCGGATCATGTTCGAGTATCACGATGCTCCTATAAGAGGACATCGTGGCCGTGAGAAAACATATCTCATGGTGAGTCGAGACTTTTACTGGCCCCGCCAGTATCAGTTCGTGCGCAAGTACATTCGCGCATGCGAAGTCTGCCAACGAGTGAAGTCTAGTTCTTCACTGCGTGCACCTTTACAGCCTCTACCGGTTTCGGCAGAGTGCTGGGAATCCATCTCAATGAATTTTGTTATCGGGTTACCCGAAGACACACGCGGGAATACGGGTATTCTTGTATTTGTTGACAGATTCAGCAAAATGGTACACCTTGTGGCTGTACCAGAGTCAATCACGGCAAGTGGCTGTGCTTGTGTCTTTATCGATACCATCTTCCGACTTCATGGGTTGTCCCGAGAACTCGTATCAGACAGAGATCTACGCTTCACTGCTGATTTCTGGCGCTCCGTGTTCAAATCACTCGGAACGCGCTTGAAGATGTCGACATGTGATCATCCAGAGTCAGATGGTCAGACGGAACGTGCCAATCGTGTCCTCGAAGAGATACTTCGAGGATACGTACACTCCTTTAAGAGTTGGAGTGAGTTCTTGCCAATGGTAGAGTTTGCCATTAACAACTCGGTGCATGCGTCCACGACACATACACCGTTTTACGTGAATGGCTTACGCCATCCGCAAGTACCCACCTTACTAGAGTGGGACTCTGGTTTAAGGGGGGGAGGGACTCGCGCGAGCAAAAACCGATTTGGTTCACGCTCATCACGCTCTGACGAAGAGGTCATTGCGTTTGATGCCGATATAGACAACATCGATATCGAAGAAGATGATGCCAGTGAGATCGAGGAAGCCCTCACTGAAGAAAATATTGATGTCGCAGCAGTGCACTCACAGCGCACTGAAGCTTACGAGTCATCAGATGAGTTCATACTGGCTCGTGAAACGGTAGTCCGTTTTGTGCAAGATTCCATCGCCGAAGCGGTGGATAAGCAAAAGCAAAACGCTGACAAGAATGGAAGGGCAAACACTCTTTTATTTAATATAGGTGACTTAGTCCTACTGTCTACGGTTAATCTACCAAAGCGTGTAGTGACTAAATTGGGTAGTAGTAAACTTCTACCCAAGGGCATCGGTCCATTTCGTGTATCGCATCGCCAAGGCAACGCATACACGATCGAGTTGCCACGTAAGATACGAACGCATCCCAAGTTTTGAGTTGGTCGGCTTAAGCCGCACCATCAGTACGCTGCTTCTTCCGATGAAGAACGCCCTTGCGCTTAAGCATCTCACAGAGAGCCTTGTGCTCCCGATGGTGGATATCAACAAGGGTCTGAAGAGCAGTTATCTCAGTCCGAGACCGATCAATATCCACACGAGCTACCCTTAGCTCGTCATGCAGAGATGTCAAAGCTCTCTCGTTCTCAAGCTGAGCAAAAGCATACTCAGCTCGATGCTTCGAGGCAGTGTCCGCCAGTTGAGGACGCCTGTCCCACTCATACTCGAGGTCGCTGCGTAACACAAGAGTTACGCGATCGAAGAAGCTATCGGAGACACATGCTCCCACGAAATAGTTTGTAGAGCGTCTTTCCTCCTCCTCCACCTCCATTAGAGGACTCTCGCGGTGTCCAGCGCTATCTGGTAGAGCGGCTGTTGAACCACTGCGATGTGAACAGACGTCGGACGAGTTAACTCGTTCGGTGGCGCGTTTATCCCCCGTCCTGGTATACTTGGGAGCCCAGCTCCCAACTGATGATTGACGTACTGGGTCTGGTTGAGCAGTACGACGCGGCACATCCTGTGCCGCAGAAGGACCGCCGGAGAAAGTCTTCCCGGAACAGTCGTAAAGGGATTTCAGGTTGTCAGTAAAGTTGCTGGTCAAAGCTGGTAAAAAGCAAAATGAATATATTTATGTCCTCAGTTCACAAATTCTGTTGCTACTCCAAGCCTACTTGATTATTCGACTATACGTTCCTAATCGCTCTATCGCGCATTACTAATCGTCTGGTCGCACATTAGTAAGTGCCACATTGCACATTACTAATCGTCTAGTCGCGCATTACTAATCACCACATCGTGCATTACTAATCGTTTAGTCGTATGTTTCCAATTCTGGTCATGCGTTTTTAAACACCCAAACGTACCGAAAGTGGGGGACGTCACTGTCTGGCAGGACAGTGCTGGTGAACCCCAAACACCAGATCCCGAAGGCTTAACTTTTTTGTTTGCATGCCCCACCGGTATCGAACCAGTGAACTTTAAGATAATACTGCCATACCAAACCGGCTGAGCTACAGAACACTTTTCTGAAACGTCATGCCGACGAGTATCTTTTACAACACTCCCACTCGACTCGGCAGACCTTGGTGTCTTGATCCCCAGCATGCCCCGAAGATATTCGAACTGCGCAGCGGGGATCGGCTTTGTCATGAGGTCTGCTTTCATGTTCTTCGTAGCGCAGTACTGTAGCAACACTTGGCCGTCTGCAACCTTCTCGCACACGAAGTGATACCGGATATAGATATGCTTCGTTTTTTTTATGGGACTCGGGGTTCTTGGCCAACGCAATGGAGCCTTGGTCATCTTTATAGATCTTGACTGCTTCGTCGTTCTTCATTTCACCAATCTCACACAAAAATGCCTTGAGCCATACTGCTTCTTGTGTGGCTTCTGTCAACGCCATGTACTCGGCTTCCGTAGACGAAAGAGCCACTGTACGCTGTTTCTTGCTTCTCCAGCTGATACACCCATTTTTCATCGGGAACGCGTATCCACTTGTGCTTCGTCGAGTTTCCACATCACCAGCCCAGTCTGCATCTGAGTAGCCTTGAAGCTTGTCATTGCTTGTGGCTTGAAACTAAACCCTATGGGTTTGTGTGCCTTGGACGTACCTGAACACACTCTTGAGTGCTTGCCAATGTGTCGGACAAGGGTTCACTTCAAACTAGCTGAGCACTCCCACTGCAGCTGCGAGATCCGGGCGAGTCCCTACCATGAGGTACATCAGGCATCCAACAGCATTGCGATATGGAACATTTGCCATCGTGTCTTCGTGCTTGCATCCTCCTTCGCACATGGACCTTGTCAGCATTAGCCCGGGTCTTGTGGAGTCTTAACTGGATTGCTATGTTCCATGCCAAATTTCCCGTGGATATCCTTCGCGAATTTGGACTGACGAATCGAGATTGTGCCGACCGTAAAATCTTGATCAACTTCCATACCGAGAAAATACTTGAGGTTTCCCAGATCCGATTATGACAAAATGCAACTCCGTCCCAAATGATTTGAGACGAGTATCCATTCAGTCAATCAGTCACTAAAGTGACTGATGGTTAAGGGGTGAACCGTTACATAACAATTTATAAGAAATTGTTAATAGAATATAACTATAATAGTTGTGTTTTCAGAATATTGTCATAAGGACAAATATTCTGTAGCACTTACGAGTAGGTCCTAAGTGGTTGATATAGGCCATTATATCAACCAACGAAGACGCGCTACGACAGACGCACGCAATGAGTGGTGAGCAGATAGTTGGTATGCACATTTGCATTCAGACATAGTTAGATGATGATAAATAGTGGTTTATTAACAGACTTTGACTATTATAAATACAGTTCTACTTTTTACTTTAATCAAGTACTCGCTTCTCCTTATCGTCTTCCTCTGAACGTACGAGTGTACGTGAAGTTCCTAGGCACCGCTTTATTCTGTCGTCAGAATAAGTAGCTTGTACTGTCATCAGTACAAACTTGAGGGTGCCCCGTTACAGTGGCGACTTTTCAAACTGCCGCTGAGATGGTGGACATAATGGAGCTACTAAAAGAGATCGGTGTGATGATAAAAACGGATTCAATACTTCACGTCGACAATTAAGCAGAGATAGCTTAGATCAAGAGTGAGTTACGTCTGGTCGAGCCAAGCATATTGACGTGAGGTAAAAGTTTGTTAAGGATCTAGAGAAGAACAAAGTGATCAAGTTACAGACCTGCGAGTCCAAGAGTATGCGTGCGTACATCCTGACCAAGGTCCTCCCAGCGCCGCGACTCAGCGAGCTACGCGGACTTGTAATGCTCAGTTGGTAAGGATTTCCACCGGTAAAGGAGTGTCGAAACACCGCGACTACTGAGGTGAAAGGAAGCAACTGTTAACATGAAAGGACGCGAGTGATGCGTAAAAGACGCGACCATTGGGAGTGGTTCAAAGAAACACACGCAAAGGAGATATAAGGCAACAGACAGCAATAACTAGGATCACACTCTCAAATGCTTTTGGTTCTCGATATTCCATTCAGCTCTCAGCCCGCGTTGAGCACGAATGAACCAAGTGCGCGCAGCCTTTCTGCGTAACGAAGCAGTTCGAGGATGGCTCGTCAAGGAAGAGCTGATGTTCCTCTGCACTTCAAGCTGGAAAGCGTTCCGCTTCTCCACTCTGTGCACTTTCTACCACCAGGTACGTATCTTATTGTTTAGCTGAAGACGAGGAGCTGTTTGAAATTTTTAACCCTTATCGGAAATCGAATGACTGTAATTTACGGTACCCTATTTATGCGTGACCAGGTGGCACGTTGTTGTTTTATAACACACTAGACGTCTCGGACTACAAGAAAGATGGATGACACTGGCAGAAGGTGTAACGGGGTGAATCGTTACATAACAATTTATAAGAAATTGTTAATAGAATATAACTATAAGAGTTATATTCTCAGAATATTGTCATAAGGACAATATTCTGTAAGCACTTCCAAGTAGTTCCTAATTGGTTGATATAGGCCATTATATCAACCAACGAAGACGCGCCACGACAGACGCACGCAATGAGTGGTGAGCAGATAACTGATTTACACATTTGTATTTAGACATAGTTAGATGAAGATAAATAGTGATTTATTGCAGACATTAACTATTATAAATACAGTTCTACTTTTTACTCTAACCGAGTACTCGCTTCTTCTTACCGTCTTCCTCTGCACGTACGAGTGTACGTGAAGTTACGAGGCACCGCCTTATTCTGTTATCAGAATAAGTAGCTTGTACTGTCACCAGTACAAGCTTCAGGGTGCCCCGTTACACCTGGTAGCACTTCGTAGTCCGTCCAAGGACCGCGTTCACATCCAACATGAATATGTTGGATGATGAAGATGACCAAAGCTTTCACGCTACGCGTGACGGCTACTCCCATTTGAGCGATGTCGAATGGGATGCGGTTGAACGAATGGGTTCGACCATGGGCATCCATGCTGTTAGCGTCATGCTAGAGGCTCTCAATAGAGATGCCCAACATGCTACTATCGCCAAGTTCATTCAAAATGAACTTGACGCAGAACGCGAGAAAGTAGCCTTGCTTCACCAACAAGGTTCTCAACAAGCAGAGTTGTTGAGAGAACAAGGTGCTCAACAGTTTGAACTGTTGAGACAGCAGCAGGCTGCTGCTGGCGGGTCGATGCACTCGCGTCGGCCCGAGACTTTGAAGATTGACATCTCAAAGTATAGGGGGTCGAAGAAGACTCCCTCTTGAGATGGTTCGTCGAATTGGACGACGCTATAAGGGCGCGTCGCATCGACGACGGGGATATGCAAGTTGCATTTGCCCAGTCAAATCTGGCAGGACGTGCCAAGACTTGGGCACTGGGGCTCAAGCTGCACGACCCATATGCGTTTGGGTCGTTGGAAGTCTTCAAGTCGCGGCTCAGACAAACGTTTGAACCGCCTAGAGCTGAGTTCAGAGCTCGAACCGAACTCTTGAAGCTCAAGCAGGGTAAGCGTGATGTGCACGCTTACGCCCAACATATACGACATCTCACGAGTTGTATAAGTTCCAATCCGGTGGATGAACACACGTTGGTTTCGGTGTTCATGCAGGGTCTTGCGGATGGTCCCGTCAAGACTCACCTGTTCCGGCTTGAACTAGATTCACTAGAACAAGCCATTTCCATTGCGGAGCAGGAAGACTTCAGTCTGAGACAGGCTCGCGCCAGCTCGACATCATATCGTCAACCGAGACGATATGACAACGGAGGTCCAGAGCCGATGGAACTCTGTTATGTAGAGAGCGAGAAGGCTCGCTCTACAGGCTACAAGAAGTTGCAGAGATGCAACAGATGTCAAAAGACAGGACACTACGCTTACGAGTGTAGTGCCCCTCGTCCAGTGTCTCGCGACACTGGGCGTAGTGACCGTCCACCCATGAGAAAGGGGCAGGGACGAGGGTCCGCAGTTGGTGCAAAGACGCAACAACGGGATGGACCGTCAAAAAACGGACAGGATCAGTAGGTGCGGAGCACCCTACTGATCCAGCAACGTCAAGAGAATTTGTAGGCCTCTTGATGAAGGTTGCTCCCAACACACAGACATTGTGCGTTGCTGCTCTAGGTAATGAGATCTCACTCATTACCTTGAAACTCGAAGTGACGAATAAGTTGTCCCTTCGAGCTCTAGTCGATTGTGGGGCGTCCAACAATTTTGTGCGACGCCAATCGCTAGAAGATGGTCACTTTAAATTCAGTGAATGTGACACACCTCCTACGAGGATGATGGTACGTCTTGCGACAGGCGCATCCGTAATCAATATGAAGCGTATAGTGAAGATTCACTATACGCTAGAAGATACCCAATACGACGATGACTTTATCGTATTGGATTTGGATGACAAATTTGATGTCATCCTTGGAATACCGTGGCTCAGAAGGTACGAACCACGGGTAAACTGGCAACATCGAACAGTAACGATGCCTGCCGCTTGTTCATCAGATGGCCATCTGATGAACGTTTTGGAGCGTCCACAAGCGTGTGGATGTACTACGAGTGAGTGCGATGGCCTCACTTGTGGTACGGTCGTTAGTACGACTGCACAAAACCTTAGTGTACCAAACGGTTACACTTCGGAGCAAAGTTCCGGCGGCTGTGAGGAAACACAGGCTGCGCCGAAGGTCCACCACTCGAATAAGTCGGGTGGACTGGGACAAAGATGTATCCCTAGAGGGGAACATCTAGAAGAGAAACAATCGATCGCTCAGGTTAAGCGAAACGATAATCCTAGATCGACTGGAGAGTCTTTCGTAGAGGATCTCGCTGTGGTTGCGCAACCCCAGCTAGAGGAAGTAAAGGGAATAAGTCCCAAGATTACAAATACGGCGGAAATAAGTTCCCGAAACCCGCGGGAATAAGTCCCCGGGAAGACGAAGGAATAAGTCCTTCGAAGCCTGAGGGAATAAGTCCCCAGGAAATGACAGAGACATTGAATGTCATAGTCAATAACGGATCATGTGTAGGCGCTTATACACTTGATCTGATTGCGCCTCCGAAGTTAACTTCGGAGATCACTCAGTTGCCAACGCTCGAACATAAAAGGTTCTTGCGTGATCTGCGTAGTGGCAAAGTCAAGCAGATCTGCATACTCGTCGCTGACGACGAGTATGTAGCCGACATAAGGTCAGCAACAGTGTTTACTGAGAACGAGAGAGTTCTCAGTAGTTCATCTATGGACGAGAGTGTCCTAGATGAAAAGACACGAATTGAGCGATATGAGTCCCAATCATGGGAATCGCTCAAGGAAAACCCTCTCTATGAGGATTTGGTTGAATTCAAGGATGTATTCCCTGAAACTGTTCCGTGCGAATTACCGAAGGATAAAGGTATTCGACACGAAGTCGAGCTTAAACCAGGCTCGAAGTACTGTGTCATGAAGCAGTGGCCACTGCCTCGTGAACAAGTACTTGCGATCGACAAGTTCTTTGCCGATCGTTTAGCAGCGGGCCAT